TTGACTGTTGTTCATTTATCCTCGTGGATGTAGTCTGTCACTACTATAAAGCCTCTCTGCTCCAGCTTTTTTATTGATTCTTTCACTATTGGGCTTTTGTTGTTTTGACTGAATCAACAGAGCAGTGTTCAGTTCTCATTCATGACTCTTCTGCAGCATTAGGTGTTTGATGATTTTTTTCTGTTCTACTTTTCCTTCATATCACAGTGACTACTCCTTCAAACTGCTCTGACTTCTTTCTTCTACTCTCTTGCCTGTCTTTCGGGCTCTTCACTATTCTTCTGTGCTTTGCGAGACTACTTTGGTGGCTTTAGTTAGCACATCTTTGAAAATAAACCCAATGCTAGGTCTCAGCCTTGATCTTTTGGTCTTACTACTACAGCTTTCCTTTAACTCTTCCCTCTTGCTCTGTTGCAGTCTGTCCTAGAAGTTTTTGTCTTTTCCCTCCAGGTCTTCCGCCCCATATCCTCTCATTTTCTCCACAGGTGATTGCGCCGTCCTTTCCAGTGCCCCAAAGGTTATCCTTCTTTTAGTTCTTTTTGTAGACGGTGCATGTCTGACTTCCATCTCTTATTGCCAGATCAGAGTTTTTAGCTTCTAATCCAAACCCTACGTGCCTGGGCTGCAGTGGGTGTGAAGGGTGCAGCCCCATGGGCCTCGCTGATGCTCTGCAGGTTCACAGAGGCTGAGGTTCCTGCAGATTCCTGGCCTGTCGCAGTGCATCAGCTCATCGCTGTCCCTTAGGGTGTCCAGGGCTGAGAAGAATGACAAATGGGTATACACTGGTCTGATTTTAAAGGATGAGGTATCAAATGCTGTTATTCAAAATGTATTTGCAGCTTGCCTCGACATTAAATATACCAAAAAAATACTACAGTTGTGATTGCTGTTCTTTCTGCCATATCAAACACTCCAGTAATTTGTACATCAGTGGTCTTGTGCTCTTGTAGCATTCTTACTGCTCACTTTCCTGATCTTTTCAGATTTATGTACCGATCTCCCCATTCAAATTCAATTATTAATCTAATAAGTGGTGACAAAACAATGGAGCTCATGTATTTAAACAGCATTTTCACGTAGTAGGAGTGTCTAGGGAACTGGCCCTCTTGGATACAGTGAGTATCGTGGCCTGCAGCTGTTCTCTTCTAAATCTGTCTTTTAAAAAAAAATGTTTGGAAAAGTCTGTTTTTGTCATTTCTTACTCTCCTGGCTTTAGAGGAGTCATGAAGTATTTCTCATACTAATGAGACAGACTGAACTCTGGTGTTCCTCATGGTATCTGACTGTAGTTTTCAGTGACACCTTCACCACTAATCACGTATCTGTATTTCACAGAACATTAGCTAAGCTAAATATTAAACATAAGTCCCAGAGATCACATTGTGGCCACATTAAGAATTCCTGGAGAGCATCCCATTAGGTTCTCAGCGCACTGCGGCCTTGAGATCTAATCAGCATCCCTCTTTGGATTACAAGGAATATAAAGAAGTTGTTATCGTAATCTGTATATGATCTTATAATATTTGACTTTCCATAGCCACAATCGGTGCCCTGTCAAGCATTCCCATAGCAAAAGTACATTTGCAGAGAAATAAGCCAAGTAATTGACCTGACAGGATGAGCAACCACTTCCTTTTGAATAGATCCTTCATACACTTAAGGCTGCGATGTGGCTGTGTGAGTAGAAAGTTCATAACGAACCTTTAATTTGTTTGGTTTTGATTCTCACAAGAGAACATGAGAGAGATTTGGATTGATGCAGAGGTAGCAATTCACTTGAGGCTTTGCTTGAGTTGTAAAATGGATGCTTACATTTTGGTAGTCTGTAAACGTCATTGGGGTCCAGAGCATGAGATGTGTCTTTGTGCTCATGTCCTGGGTGCATGAAATAGATACCTTTCACAAACACATGCACTAAAGTGAAATAGTGAAGTATACCGTGTTGGCAAATACTGTTTTTTCAACCTTTTGCTGTTAACATTGTAAATGCAGTCTCAGCTGAAGTTAATGTCTTTTAAAGTGATTGTGCCATTTTGAGTTACTGCTGTTTTCATCATTTTTGGATTTGTGGTTTTGTAATGTGTCACAAAACATATCTAAATGGTCTCAGAGCCTTTGCTGGTTTTTCTCAGATAGGATATGGCATAATGCCTCACTTGGTTTGCTAAATACTTTGCATGCTTGAGACCAGAGCCAGCTTTTAGATAACGAAGTGCTGGGACCTCACGTGAAGGGTGAGATCTGTTCTGTGTTGTAATCTGCGCTTCAGTGATCTGTGTGTTCAGTGGCCAGATTCAGATTGATTTGAATGGGCCCAGGGTTTCACCCTGAAACTCCAGGCCAAGGTTCCTATAGGGAAGCTGTAAAACGCAGCTCTGACTTTCATGAATAATTCCTTCTGAAGTGAACACTGGTGGTGCCGGGGATATAAAATCGTGCTTCCAGTAGATCCACTCTGCTGGCGTCAGGACTGGGTTTACAACTTCATCATGATCTGATCTTGCTGCAAGAGTCCCACGCTCTGTGAGTCGAACTGCAGGAGAGATCCCTGGAAAGATGTCCCATGAGATGGGTGAACACAGGGTGTTCCTACTGCTCCTGGGCTGAAACAGCCCCTACTGCAGAAGAGCTCTGGGGAGAGATGGGATCAACCTTGTTCTCATCTTTGTGTACCAATTTGGGAAAGTTTGTACTCACTCCCATACCCGTGAATTTTAATCTTCATTTAAGACATGAAAGGGAGGGAGACTCCTGCCCCCCGCCACCTTTTAGTGAACAGGTTGCTTGTGATTTGCAGGATCACGTCTGCAATGTGATTGTGTGCAGTATAATAAAGTGACTGTTGCTTAAACAGTTTCCCTTCCATCTTCCTCAAGAAACCAGCAAATAGTACTATAGCTTCTGCACAAATACCAAGAATGATTATAACAATGTTCTGCAGCTTGACATCGGTGCCAGTGATGTCGCTGCACCTGGAGGTGTTATAAATAAATAGAGAAAATGTGGCATTTTTTCAGCCTTCTAGCTTGTACAAGGGAAATGTGGATGGAAATCATTCAGCTCCGCCTGTGTAGGTGGCTTTGCATTCTGTTTACAAGCTGCACTCAAGCCTTATTCAATCCAAGCCCGAGTAATCTTGAATTGCTTAAACCAATTATTAGTTCATATTTTTTATTTAAGGATCTCGTTGTAGCGTTAGTCTGTCTTTCTTCTTTCCTTCCCTGTACGAAAACAAGTAAAAGAATGTAAGGATGCATGGAGTCATCAGGCAGCAGACATATGCTTTCTTGTGCTCTCGGCAGGGTTTGCAGGTTCAAACACAACCTGCCTGAATCATAAGAACTTTAATTGAGTAGATAAAGAGGTCCTCATAATTATAAACTGCAGTAGGTATAACAAGAGGCTAAATACATAGCTGTGGTTTTAATTAGCTGGTGCTTCAAATTAGTAATTGTGGTTTCACTCAGAAATCAGTGACTTTATACACTGTTAAAGCATCATCACTGTGCAGTTCATTCCTCATTGTATCTCTCGGTGTGAAGCTTTCAATACAACATCATGCTGAGCTAGAAAGGCAAAAGTTGTAGATATTTGGTTATCTTCCAAGTGCAGTGGAGCTCTATGGAGATTTAATTCATTTTCAGCAGAGATAGGAGAATTAACTGTTCTTTGTTACGTATGTAAGGTGTATGTTTGTATGTATGCATTTGTACATAGAGGGTGTGCATGGATGTGTGCATGCGTGTCCAGAACCTATCAGGGAAATACTGCTTCCAACAGATAACCTCAGTGCCTGCACTGAGTCTGCTATTCACGTTGTCGCCTGGAATTTGGTAGCTAATTAATTAACTGACACAAAGCAGAGCCAAAAGCCTCATAACAAATCAAATATGGGTTGAAAGCACAAAAGTCTCCCTTTATGCTTGTCACCTGAGAGGTTGTCAGGGCAAGTTGAAGCATGCATCTTTTCCTTTCCCCTTTCCTATTTTACCCCCTCCTTTAGGGTTTTAATTATATCCTTTCCCTCAGAGGAGCGGGAGGTAGTTTGCAAAGCCAAGAGACCACAGTACTTCAGTGCTATTCAGGGGAGAAGTGAATGTGGTCTCTCGGCTTGTCTTCTGGGTCTGGCAGGTGCACAAAGTGAGCTGGCATACAGATGAGTGCCACTCACCGTTGATGCACTGAGGCGCCGGATCCTTTCTTGTTTGTTTGTGTGTAGAATTATCTGATACTGGAATCAACTATCTCAAAGCCTCTTCCAGGAGCCCGTTACAAAAACACGTTTTAAAACCCCCTTGACACCCGCAATGAAGCTGTACATAAATTTTAACAAGTACACAGGACAGAATTAGGTGGTCTAAATCACACGAGGCTGAGCTGGAGCGCTGGGATGGATGGAGACGAGTGTTGCACAGTTAAATGGATTTGAAGATGTTGCTGTGCTTCCTTGACTTCACATTTGCTTTCTCTGGGCAGGCACGTTCCTTGTGGGCACACACGCGTGTGGTTGTGTGTGTGCACACACGTGTTTTACAGACTGGTCATACAAATGTGTCAACATTTATTTTATCCTTTTGCATATTGCTCTGTTAATTTGAAAAGAACATTTTTGTCTCTTTTCATTTTAGAAGTCTACTGGCTGTCCTACTGCCCCATTTCATGTGGGGCATTCAGAAGCCTGGTCTAATGGAAGGTGTCCTTGCCCATGGCAGGGGGATTGGACTAGATCATCTTAAGGCCCCTTCCAACACAAACTATTCCATGATTCATATAGCATTATGATTCCAAATTTACATTTGGGAAAAATATTTAGGTTTCTTGGGATGATTTTTTGTGGGTTTTTTTTTGGTTGTTTTGGTTTTTTGGTGGTTTTTTTTCAGAATTATCCTCACGAATTGCATTGTTTCTGATGATTTGCTGCTCTTACTGATAGTAATGAACTTGTAAATAAATTATGGGGAAAATAATGTGTTATCTTCTCTTGTCTTTCTCTTCTTCAGTCACTATGAGCAAGACCGGAGCGCACTTAAGCGGAAAGAATGGGAGAGAAGAAACCAGGAAGTCCAGCAAGATGAAGATCTCTTTGCTTCAGGTTTTAACCTCTTTGGGGAACCCTACAAGGTAAATTGCACTGTTATGGTTTACACTTTCAGTGTGTCTTTTATCTGAATCCATTTTACAAATACAAACAAAGCCTCTCATCACCTGTAAGAAATGAAAGTATTGCATCTGCCTTTGTACTTATACTTGTGAGTACACTGATTTCAAATCAGCATATGATGGCAATGAAAACTGAGTGCTCTGCCAAGCACTGCATGCTAGCATTGAGAGAATCGGGAATTTTGGTTACAGTCCAGTTCAAGATTTCTTCCTGTAAACACTCAGCAAAGTCCTGCAACAGAAGAATGTGCAGCTGATATCTCTTCGAGTGGGTTCATAGCTACAAAGCTAGCACTTAGTTGTTTTATTTTTGAGAAGGAAATATACTTGACTTGTTAAAAACAATGTCCTGTCTATAGATAATAAGTCCATAAGCTTTCTTGTGCAATCACAACCATCTAAAGAAGTCTTTTGGGAGACTGTCTGAACCTTTGGGGAGCTTAACAAGGCTATGAAAACCACTTATGACAAGTCTTATTCTCTCTAAGGAGCTTTGCTGCCTGAGATTTTAATCACCAAGGGATGTCCTCATTTATGATTTCTGCTGCTTTGATTTTCAGTAAGACATTCCCTGAAGAATTCATCAGAATGTAAATTTCTGTCTCTCTTTCTCCTCCAAATCAGTGACATCCATTGAAAGGCCGCCACTTTATCTTTCCATTTTACATTGTTAGCAGCTATAGGGAGGATGAGGGCTCTTTGAAAAATGCCCAAAAAGGAGGAGGAAAGACTGACATTATTATCAAATGTTGTCTAATAGTTATGGACTGGGAGAGTGACTGATACACTTGACTCCTAGCTGTACTTGGGTTCATGCTGACTAAAGAGCAGCAGGCCTCATGTCCTTGGGGGTGAGCTTGCAAGCTGGAAAGCCTCTGGCTCACATACAGGGGAGTGAAGGTGTCTTGAAAAATATTTCGAAAGCTGGTTTCAAAACCAAAACGTGCAAGATAACCGAAGTCCAGAACAAGATACCAGAGCTAAAATAAGGACATCTACCTTGTCTGTGCTATTGACTGTCAGACAACTACTTCAGTCGATAAATATTGCCTTCAGGATGAGCCCAATTTGAGCTCTCCCTGAATTGCAGCTGGACTGCACACCAGGTATCTCTCCCCTTGAGCACAGACACCTCTCAAGGGGAGAGATTCCTTACCTGAGACTAAGAGATCCTTCCTTACCCGAGGCGGAGAGATCCCTTACCTGCAACAGATCCTCGGTAAGTGACTGATAGCGTGCTGAATTAGTGCTGTGAGACATTACTAATCCATGTGGTTATTCAGTGGTATTGTAAATAGTGGATGGAAAATTTCATTAGACATAAACCGCTGACCAAGTCCGAGACTAAGATTGCATCCAGCCTCACCTAGGCTCTGAAAGGGGTTTAGAAAGCAAAGGGGTCCACTCTGAACCTTGTGACTCAATGGGAGGCTCTTCTTTGCCCTTTGCATCTCTGGTCCCTGTGTGAATCATTCCAACTCAACTCTTGAGTTTTCCTTTGTATATTTCTTCCATGCAGTGATTAATAAGGTGAACCTTGCCATCAAACTTATTGAACCCTGTCAAACCACTGTTAAACTGTGTTAAATTCCATCAAACCTATTGAACTCTGTCAAATTATTATTTTACCTCAATAAAACATATTACTGCTGCTGCTTTGAGTGAGGTGCATTCCACTCATCCGTGACAGACTCGTTCAGCCAACTAAGGACTATGTACTAGGACAGTTTGTTTGTGGGGTCTTTTTGTTTGTATAAAAATGTAATTAATGCACTATTTCTCCATTGGACCGTATTTTAGCACCTCTTTTTATTTATGGGAATAACAACTTAGGATAAGCTGATTTTGTTGAGACTTCCTGCAGGTTGTGCAAATGTTTTTGTTCATGTAAGTGGCCATTTGTACGTCAGTAGGTAGGTAGACCAATCTGCAAATCACTCAAAATTTTGTGTGAGAAACTAAAAAGACACCTCCCCCCCAATATCTTTTGTACCATAAGAATGGTAATACCTGATTTTATACCTGTTTAGTGTGCATGTATTTGCACCATGCCTACACAGAGCATATATTTTGTCAAAAACTGAACAACTGAAAAGAAAAAAATTATCCTGGTGATTTTCCTAAGCAAATTTTTTTTAAATTACTTGACATAGAAGTTTGTCAGATCTTTTGGGATTGAGCTAAACATAATGTATTACTATCCTAAAAAAGCATTGCAATTATAAATGGCAAAAGATAAAAATTAAGAGAAGATTGCATGGAAAAAAATGTCGTATCTGTCTTAAATTTGCAAAACAAAGAGGACCAAGACTGAATAGGAAAGTTAGGTCTTACCTGCATTTTATGCTATTGGGTGGGGGGACTGGAAGGACAAGGTGTTAGACTGATATTTCCTTTGTAAGTTCTACACTGCTAAGAACCAGCCACAGTACAGTTTCCTAGGAACTAATGAAAGTTCCATCTAACTCTTGGTGGATATGTAGTGACTTCCTTGATCATCTTTGTAGCCCTACGCTGGACTCTCTCCAGCAGTTCCCTGTCCTTCTTGAACTGAGGGGCCCAGAACTGGATTCAATATTGCAGATGCGGTCTCACCAGGGCAGAGCAGAGGGGGAGGAGAACCTCTCTGCCCTGCAAAACTAAACACAAGATTTTGTTCATGTTCATTCTAAAATAAAGCGAAGAGGCCATGAGGTGAGAACAGATGTGCTGCATGTTCACTTTGAATTCCTTTTCCATTTTGAGATGAACAGATGTTTCTCTTCGGATGAGCCTCAAGGCCTGGTGCACACAACAGGCTGCACCCATCTTGTATCTTCTGGTTGCTCTCAGTGGGAGCAGAATGAGATAAATCAACTGCAGTGGCCTGTGACAGGCACAAGGTCCACATCCTCGTGTGGGCTACCTCTACTAATGAGCATCAGCTCAAGGGGTGTCTGGTATGTTTCTGAAACATCTGGAGGTAGGGGGGAAGATGGAGACTATGGTGACAAGGGGAAGGCTCGGAATATCAGGTCTCAGGAAGCAGAAGATGTCTCTTCCTTTCTTTTATTCCCAGATCTAGTGTCCTTGCTTGTTCATCCTTCCTTCTGCATTTGCTTCAACAGTAACACAGCAAAGGGACTGTTGTGGTAGGAAATACCACTGCTGTTTCGATGTTTTAATGACCGAACAACTGGCAGCTGCCTCAAGAAGGCTCTAAAGTTGGGGATATTAAAACTTAGTCAAAAAAAAAGAGCACAAATTTTCTCATGGAGCTTACTGCCATTGTGCATCACAAGATGTGTGGAAAATCTGCCTCCATCTATCATCTCTTTGCTCTGGCTGTTAGAGCATCCTTCTATCCCTCTGGCAAATAAAACATAGGTGATCATTACAGTTTTGGACAAGCGCGTGTTTCTACATAGATTGTTTGTAGTACGTGTACACATACATGAGAAGAGAGATTTATTTTTGTGCGTGTATAAAATACATTTGTACATGCTTATTAAAAGATAAAAGTGTTCTGAAGCTGTGCTGTCTCATGTTGGGAAACACCACCTTTGACAATGTAATGACATCCAGCATTGTTTTGGGAAGATGGGGTAGCGAGGGCTGCGTTGTCCTTTGGTGCAAGTGGGTTGCAGGTCTTGCCTTTGAACTCCAGTGCAACCTGCTAAAGCTTGGTTTTGCAGCAGTGATCAGAGAAGAGCCTGCAGTGTAATGACAACAGACATTTGGAAAAGCAACGTCAGAGTTTTCCTGAGAGAAGCTGCAATTTTACTGCTGATTTGTTGATACCTTTTAATGTTTTGAATTAGGAAAGCATTTCGGAGATGAGTATTTTAGAGAAAACAGTAGGCGTGGGTTTTTTACTTTTCAAAGGATTTGTCTCAGAAGAGTTCCACTTGAGAAAGGGGACCCAGTGGCCAGCATTTCCTTTGGGGAGCCTTTGGTGAATGTTAACTAATTTATCTTTTTCAGGTAAAGCCCCTCCACACTATTCAAGCTTAGCATAAAAAAGATCTCTGCCTCTAATCCATGGAGATTAGTGTAACTATGAGGCATGAGGAAGTGAATGAAATATGAAGCCTCAAGTTTCATACAAATTTTCACAAAACCCTTGCAAATTGGGCCTATAAGTTTGAGTGCATTAGTTCTTTCCTTTGTAAAACTATAATGCGATAGCTAGCTAGCAAATTACTCTTCCAATAGGGCTCTGTTACAGATGACTTTTGAAAGCAATAGAAGCAAATGTGGGAAGGTGTACATTTGCTAAATTAACAAGAGCCTAGAACGAGGGGGAAGGCTACTAGCCATGAGTTACGAGCCAGACGGATAATTTATGCCTTGGAATACTCAGAAAATGGTGCATTTCCTTGATAGCGGCGAAATTGTGATTCAGCGTGCTGTTCGGAAAATAAGATGTGCGGGGCTTTCCTTTAAGAAGTCAGCCAATTATCCAGAATATGAAGGTAGAAATTGTCCCCAGTCTGGAAGTAACAGGAAGCAACCAGAAATTGTGACTGGGTTTTGTGTTTGTCTTGCTGGTATCCAGACTTGGTAAGAATACTCTGCTTCTCACTAGAGCCCCGAATTTGTCGAGGCAATAGAATTAAAACATTGATATTATGCTTTATGTCTTAAGTGGCAGTAGTGCACTGCAGTACACACCCGAGCTCGTTCAGGTTGTGATGCACAAGTCTGGTCTTAGTTCTGTGTGGTCTAGTTTTATTTCAGCATAAGCCAAATTACCACTCCCATTCACTGTGTGTTTTTTGCTTTGCAGTCTGGTCCAAAGGCCATCGAAGAGAGTAATAATCCTTGCATTGACTTCAGTAACTATTGGATATGAGATTGAGCGCATTTAAAATACACTAAGGCTGTGTAAATTAATTTAATTTCCATGCTTTTCAGGGAATATTTTTATTAATTCTCCCAGTAAATTACTACAAATAATAGTACCTGATGTTTTATGCCGTGTCTTTTATCCCCAGGATGTGGGCTTTCCACATAAAACGGAGATAATATCAAGCAAAATTATATTTATCATTACGTGACATGTAAAAGAAAGTAAGTTGAGGGGATCAGATACCTCCAGTGCAGAAATGATTGAAAAGCTCTGCATTCAAATTAAAATATTTATTCCCTCTGTGAGGATCTAGACAAGAGCCGTTTAATGTGCTGTGATGTTGAAGTGTTCCAGTGATGATGTGTTGTCAGTCTTTTTTATTTTATTTTTTTCCTAACTTTTTTGCTTTCTGGAAAGTAAGCTAGACTGGTGCTGCAGGTTGGTGGTCAGGCGTTTTTTGATACTCGGTTGTTTCCCATGTGCTATCCCATAAGGAGTTAAAGTGTTTGGGGAAGGAGGAAACAGAACAAGCATGTAAGTGTTTAGGCTTCGCATCATAATTCCTGC